GAGAGAGAGAGAGAGAGAGAGACGTGTCTGTAGTCACAGGGTTTTTATTTAACACGTAGTCCAGTCCACCCTCCCTCCCACACGCGCGCGCACACATACACACACAAACCCGCACACACATTTAACCAAGAGCAGAGCTTCAAAACTGTCCGAGTTGACGACAACGACCGTTACCCTCGCGAGCCGAGCTCGGCTAGCCGACCGTTACGTTTTAAAAAGAAACAAAACAGAAAAAACTTCACTTTTTTCTACTTTTTCTTCCGAAATAACTCATTTTTTTCTGGAGGAAATATTTACATCTCCCGTCTTTATGAGCAGTTAAAGGTCGCCGGCACCTCCCCGCGTCGACTTTTCGAGAAAATTATCGGAGACTTCAGCTAAAAACTGAGGAGAGAAATGGAAAGGATTACAAGCGCGCAGCCTCCTCCTCCGTGTGTGGTCAAACACCCTTCGCTAGATATCGCCGACATGCCGGGGTAAGTACGCCGCACAAGCCCTTGAACCTGCCCTGAAGTCGACCAGCTTCTGTTCGAATTGTCCCGTTCCACCTTAAATGGTGCAGCAGTTCCATTCTGGAGCCTCAGGCTCCAGAATGGAACTGCTGCACCATTTAAGGTGGAACGGGACAATTCGAACAAGAAGCTGGCGAATGGGAGAGTCGACTTCAGCCTCGTCCTCAACAAGCCCCTCAGGTTCCTAACACATCCTCTCTATTTGTTTTCTCTCAATGTTCAGAATGGATTTTCCCATGTATGTGTACAAACCTCGGAGAGGGATGAAACGAGGAGAGGACAGCAAGGTACGGAAAACAGTGCACTAACTACTTAATCCGTTACTGTTATCCATGCAGCTTAGTTGTTTAGCTTTACCTCCACTAAGTATTTGTGCATGCAGGTCACTGAGCAGGCTGCATAGACTCCTGAAAGTTTTCACTTTCAGATAGTTTTGCATGAAAATGCGTTGTTTTTAATGCCCTTTTTTAACGTACGTTTTCTCACAGGACACCTATAAGCTGCCCCACCGTTTGATTGAGAAGAAGCGACGTGACAGAATAAACGAGTGCATCGCGCAGTTGAAGGATTTGCTGCCTGAACACCTTAAACTCACTGTAAGTATATGGGCAGTGCAGCACAGGAGCTCTTCAGCACCACCTAGTGGTCGTTGCGGAGCAGATCATGTTCATTCCTTCCCTCATTTATTTATTCCCTAATTATTGTGATGTGACATTTTAAGTTTTATTTACTCACTCCGCTCTGTTGTTTGTGTTGCCTCCAACTTCATCAGACCAATATATACAAGTGCAAGGAAGCGGATAGTTTGTGTATGTATTGTGCTAAGAAGTTGAAGTTGTGCAAAGTTTATGTGAAATGGAGGTTCACAAAAAAAATATCAGTTCAGGAAGAAGTGTTAGGCTTTTTTATATGTTTTTAGATAGTTTTTTTTATTGCATGCCCGTTGCATCTCGGTTGCCCGCGCGGTAGAGGGTTCGTCCTCGGCGAGGCAGCTGAGAGCGTTACATAAGAAAGATCAACATGCTTATCGGAGTGCTTCCTCTTTTAGACACTGGGCCATTTGGAGAAGGCCGTGGTGCTGGAGCTCACGTTAAAGCATGTGAAAGCGCTCAACAGCCTTCTGGAACAGCAGCAGCAACAGATCATTTCTCTCCAGAGTGGAATTCAAATTGGTAAGTCAGATGCCGAAAGTTAAAATAAACACTTTCGCTGCTCATTGCAGACTGACGTAGCCCAACAAGGCCTTTTTTAAAGTTTATTGTTTAAAAAACCAAAGCTGTTGTCATGCCTGCCTGGCCTTTCCAGCAATGTGATCCGTGCTCGCAACTTCTGTCGCAGTCTGTTGTGCATGATCAGCAGAACATTGTTTTGTGATGGAGATAATATGCAACCTGTCGAAAGGGGAGAAACCCGAGGCATTGGTCTCATACGTGTTCTGCGTTTTGTGTGTGTTGCAGGGGATCAGCCTAATGGCAGCACTGAGAACAGCGAGGAGATGTTCCGCTCGGGTTTCCATCTGTGTGCCAAGGAGGTGCTGCAGTATCTGGCCAGCTTGGAGAACACACGGGACCTGACCCCGACACACATTGTCAACCACCTGCACAAAGTGGCTGCTGAGCTGCTGCATCGTCCGGTCAGCCCCCGCCTGGAAACTCCCTCACCCAGCCGCAAGGGCCAAGAGGCCCGGGAGAAAGTGGCTGTCTCACAGCCTCGCACGCCTGAGGGCCACGCCAAGAACTGCGTCCCTGTCATTCAGAGAATTTACCACCCTCAGGGCAGCGAACAGAGTGGCAGCGACACGGACACGGACAGCGGCTATGGAGGCGAGCTGGACAAGCGTGACTCCAAAGGCCAACGGGCTAGCTACTACAGCAAAGAGGGCATGGAGCTGAAGCATGGCCGGACGGGCAGCATCAAGGAGGAGCGAGACGAGCCCCAGGCCAAGCGGGTCAGATCGGATTCATCTGAGGACGAGTCTCTGTCGAGTCACGACTCACACGGTGGGTACGTGAGCTTTTCGCCGCACCAGCCGCCGCTCTGCATGCCCTTCTACCTCATCCCTCCTACCGCGGCTGCCGCCGCCTACCTGCCCATGCTGGAGAAATGCTGGTACCCAGGGGGCATGCCTGTGCTGTACCCAGGCATTGGGGGCTCCACGGCTGGGTTATCTCCTGAAAAACTGCCCTCATCACTGGTCATGTCCCCAAGAGTAGCTTCCCCAGCTACCCCTCAGACCCCAATGGACTCTCCCGCTCTTCTTCAGGCCCTGAAACAGGTGCCCCCCTTAAACCTGGAAACCAAAGACTGAGAACTGTATGAAAGGTGCCCACCTCCCCCCCCATAAAATTGCCCACAGCTCGCCCTCTGAATGTTCTGGGTGTTGAGAGCGGAACGCTGATGGAGGATACGCTGATGGAGGGGGAAAGATGATGAAGAGTGGTCTTCATCGCCATTGCCGCTGCCGCTGCCCCTCAAGCCCCCCCCCCTCGCACCACCTGCCCTCTACACACACACACACACACACACAGAAACAGCTCAGCGGCCAACTCCCTCCCTCCACCACCGGCACAGACACACGCGAGTCCACGTGGAGACGGACGCACGCTGGCCACCACGCTGAGCAACGGGAGACGAGAGGAGGCCCAGAGCGCAGCGTTTTGAGTCACTGTGAAGGAGGCGATTCATAAAGGACACTGAATTGTCCGGTTTGAAGAAGGACCGCGCCGAAGGGACATTCTGCTCCCTGCAGTTGTGCTGAATGTTTGAATTAAAAAAAATACGTAAATGATAAATAAATAAACAAACAAAAACAAATCCAGAATGTGACGTGCAGACAGCCCCTAAAAAAACAACAAGGACTCTGCCCTTTGCACACATCTTTCTGTTTTGAATGTAAACAATATTACAAAAAAGGTAACTAGAGAAACCCCTGTAGATGCTGCTGCTTTGTTTTTTTGGATGTTTTATCTGTGCTGCAGAGAAAACCGAGCGAGGCTTTCACACTGTCCGGACTCTGTGGCTGCTTTAAATAAAGACTTATCCTCTTAGCCTAGAATGCTACCAAATATCGGTCTGCTTTAGTTGACCAGAGCTATCACAGAAAAACGACGGCAACAAACACCCCATCTCTCCCCATCTCCGAGTCACCGGTTGCCCCTGCGAACTGAATCCCTCAAATGCTCATAAATACACAGGTGGGGGTGACATCATCAGCCCCAAAATGGGTCACTCATGTAAATACGGAAGAAATGTAATCGCAACCGCTTTTTTTTTTTTCTTTTTGTTCTTTGTTTTTGTTTTTATTTTTAAGAACAAAAGAGAGAGAGAGAGAGAGATTGTAATTCATTATTGTTTGTGCAAGTAGATGGGGTACTTGTGAGGTAACTACGTCATGTAATTCATTTGTTTATACTACTTGTACATCTATATTTTTGATACACGACCCACAAGTGTGTTGGCATTGCGGGGAAAAAAAAAAAAAGAAAAAAGAGGGGAGTTCCAGACTGGCTCATGCCGAAAGCAGAGAGAGATCGTGTACATAGCACCGGGTGAAGTTGGATCTGCGTCATGCTCTATTCATTTCTGGTCAAATTAAGACAGATCTTTTGTTCATGCTGTTGCCTTTTACTTGTTTAAAAGCAGTAAATTTATGACGAATATCGAAATTTTTAATTCTGGATTCTGCAGAGAAGCAAGGAAAGTGAATGTACAATGTTTAAACAATATATTAGTTTTGTATAGGAAGAGGTACTTGGGATTTTTATTTTGGGACCTAACAGAAGGTTGCTTGATGTATATATTTTGTCAAGATTATTGTTGACATACATTAAAAAAAGTATTAATAAAGTTTTTTTTTTCCTGTGGAAGTGCTGCATGTGTGGCCTCGTCTTTTGAAGCCATGGAGCTGTGTTCCTGAACGCAGCTTGTCCTTATGTAATAACTTACATAACCTGCCGTGTAACACTGTCTGTGTAAATCATGTGGACACGGGATACGATATCAATCAGGCCTCGCATATTCCTACCACTCTAACAACTACACAGGAGTTTTATTTATGACTGAGCGCATTTATTGGTGTCAGATTAAACTCTGCACAACACTTCCAACTGGCCATGAGCAGATACACCAGTTCTTACTTATAAATTTTTCAATACTGCTGTGAAGAAGCAAACCGACCAGAGCACAAACAGTGCACAACCATAATAACCCAAACCCAACCTCCTTCAAAATTGGCTGCTTGGCCTGTTAGTAGTCCTAAAAAATTCAAATATGTATGATTGCATCTGTCTTTATATACGACATGCCTTTATTATAGCATTAATAAACTTGCTATTTCATAGGCATTATGATATTTCCATCCTATTACTGCAGTAATACATTCATTTTAACATTTAACATGCATTATAAGATGTATTACACCATACTTTACCCATTATTGAGATATTAATATGCATTATTCACAGTTTAATCGTTTTATTGCTGTATTTCATACATTATAACACTTAGCATGCTTTATTACACTTTTATTATGCTATTAATATGCATTATTACAGTTACTTGAGTATTACATTTGTTATAGCAAACTTGAAAAATGTGGCGTTCGCGATGGTTAACGCTAAGACTGCAGTGTGAACCTTTCAGACAGTGCTCGACTCAAAAAATCATGTTTCTTTTAGGAATATCGTTTTACCAAATAAAACCCAACACATTTTCGGAGCTTCTCCACGGTTGACCTGGGTTCAGGTCAGAGCGCGCGCCCGCCGCTGCGTGTGCGCGCAGCTTTTACGGGAGCTCGACGTCATGGTCCCCGTGTGTCACGTGTATAGCCACGCTGCCGCGCCGTGACCGCCTCGCCGCTGCCGATTGGCCGACGTAACTCTAGGATGCCGCTGATTGGCTGAAGCTGCGCCTCGCGTCCGCTGATTGGCCTCTTCGCTAGGCAGGGTCTGTTCACGAAGAGAAACAACAACTGAATCCAATAATAATACAATCATTTTTATGTAGCGCTTATCGTTTTATTTACAACACGTCAAAGTAAAAGATTGGAAAGATAAAATGGTTCAAGTGAAGTATATTTTACAAACAATCGTAGAAAACTCTTAAAAAGATGGTTCTTCAAGGGTTCTTTAGTAAAGAAGATGGTTCTATATAGAATCATGAACACTCAACAACCGTTTCCATGATTAAATGGTTCTATGCATCATGAAATGGTTCTTCAGATTGATAAAGAATGTGCTGAAGATGGTTCTTTATAGAACCCTTTTGAAAAGGGTTCTATGCAGCACCAAAAGGGTTCTCCTATTGTGACAAGCTTGACATCGCAACAGTAGAAGAACCCTTTAGGTGATGTATAGAGACCTTTTCAAAAGAGAACCATCTTCAGCACATTCTTTATCGTAGAATATGAACACTCAGAGAACCCTTTGCATGATTAAAGGGTTCTTTGCATCATGAAAGGGTTTCTCAGATTGATGGAGAATGTGCTTCAGATGGTTCTATATAGAAACTTATTGAAAAGTGATCCATATAGCACCAAAAAGGGTTCTACTATTATGACAAGCTTGACACCGTAACAACAGAAGAACCTTTTTGGTGCTGGAACCCTCTTCAAGAAAGTTGTATATAGAACCATCTTCAGCACATTCTCCTTCAATCTGAAGAACCACTTCACAATCCAAATCACCATATTGTCATGCAAAGGGTTCTTTGAGTGTTTATGGTTCTATATATTTTCTTTATGGAAGAACCATTGAAGAGCCATCATTTTTAAGAGTGTATTTAGAACCATGAGGTCTATGTAGAACAATTCCATGCTTAAATCGTTCTTTGCATGGTGAAAGGGTTCTTCAGACTGATGGAGAATGCGTTGTATGGTTCTATATAGCACTAAAAAGGGTTCTGCTCTCGTTATGATGTCAAGCCATTTTCAAAAATGTTCTATATAGAAACGTTTACAACACATTCTTCATCAATCAGACAAGCCATTTCATCGTGGAAAGAACCATTTAAGCATGAAATGGTTCTATAGAGGTTCTATTAGGAATCATTCCCTTTACTAAAACCCCTGGAAGAACCATCTTTTTAAGAGTGCAACCTAAAAAAATATGTTTTAACAGGAATGTGAGTACTTACTTATTTACTTACTTACTTCTTTCTTTCTTTCTTTCTTTCTTTCTTTCTTTCTTTCTTTCTTTCTTCCTTCTTTTCTTTCTTTCTTCCTTTCTTTCTTTCTTTCTTTCTTTCTTTATTTATTTATTTATAATCAACAAGCGCCCAGACTGTCTGCATTAACGCCTCATTACTGTTATGACTAGCTTGTTTCATATAGAAACTGCGGCTGTCCTGCCTGACTGTGAGCTCTTCCTCAGCCTCATGATGAGCATGTGACAGGCCCATGTGAAAAACCTGTCAGTCAGCTTAAAGACATGTGGGACAGCCCGATACAATCCGGCTGCTACATTCAATTACATCTTTCTTTAAGTAGCCCAAACGTGCTGCATTAAACCTCCTTGATTCAAATAAGTGCTGAGTATCATTCCTACATGATCATTGCCATTCATTTCAGATTACTACAGTAGACTATTGTATATAGTATATATATATATATAGTATATATATATATATATATATATATATATATATATATATATATTGTATATAGGTGCTGAATGTGTGTGTGTGTGTGTGTGTGTTTGTATGTGTGTGTGCATATACAATACATTTTATTTAACTTTATTTGTTCAGTATGCTGCCTGCATTCTTTTTATGTTCGGCTTCTTTTGCTGTTCATTTATTTGTTTGCCTTATGTACTGTCTCTCTGTTGTCATGGTTTTTGTCTGGCTTGTCCAGATCTTTATCTTATTTGTTTACTTTGTGTACTATATGTCTGTTGTAATAAATAAAAAAAAGGAATAGACAGACATATTTGACTCAAGCAAATTCAATTCAGTGTATGTTCTATGCTTTGTCTGAAAGGTAAAGGTAGCATATTATATTGCTGATTTATATTTACTTGACATTTTGCCTAGAAATGAGCCCCTTGGATCTTAAGTGTGTTGTCCAGTAACCCGTTATGGTCTATATCTGACTCTCCGAACTTGCCTGAGCTCAAATCTGAAGACATTTTTTCAAACCATATCAATGTCACTTAATTTATCATATTAATTCTAGTCTTTTGATCACAAAACAACTTAAATTTCAAGTTTGATTGTGAACAGAAGTATACGAAGTACATGCAATCAAAATGAAAGTGCTGTTGGATCCTCTTTCAAAGTATGCTTATGGAAACTTTCATGACTTCTGTCCAATCAAAACAAGTTCTGTGGCATATTTTCTTATCATGCTAAATGTAGTTGACATAAATGGGTGAAAACTTTCAGTGAGCTCTACGAATTGCTGTGAAACTAATATGTGTGTAGTTGTGAGAGTGAGGAACAAGTATAGTATTTAAAACTGTGGTCTGATTATGTAAACATTAATGAATGACTGTGTTTTATTGTCTGTTGTAGCTTTACTAGACATTCAGTCCAGTATTTGTTATGATGTAACGTGAGCGACATCTGGTGGACAACAGTGAACTGCAGGCTGGTCACAAGTTACACTGCTGGCTGGAGTTCAGGAGGAAATTCAAAAGTTTTCAATGGTTAAGATGTAAACATAAAGTCATTCAGACTGGTTAGGGGTGAAATGTTTAATTTTAGAGAAAGTTTCAGTGTGTGTGTGTGTGTGTGTGTGTGTGCATATATATATATATATATATATATATATATATATAGGTATATGCTATTCATGCTATACATTTTCTTACTTTTCTGTATCCTACAGATGGTTCTTTAAAGGTTTTTAGTAACGAAAGTGATTCTTCAAAGAACTATGAACACTCAAAGAACCCTTTGCATGATTAAAGGGTTCTTTGCATCATGAAAGGGTTTCTCAGATTGATGTAGAACATGCTTTAGATGGTTCTATGTAGAAACTTATTGAAAAGTGATCCATATAGCACCAAAAATGGTTCTGCTATTATGACAAGCTTGACATCATAACATTAGAAGAACCTTTTTGGTGCTGGAACCCTCTTCAAGAAGGTTGTATATAGAACCATCTTCAGCACATTCTCCATCCATCTGAAGAACCATTTCACAATGCGAAGCACCATATGATCATGCAAAGAGTTTTTGAGTGTTTATGGTTCTATTTATTTTCTTTATGGAAGAACCCTTGAAGAACCATCATTTTTAACAGTGTATTTAGAACCATGAAGTCTATTTAGAACTAATTCATGCTTAAATCGTTCTTTGCATGGTGAAATTAATAGTTCCTCAGACTGATGGAGAATATGTTGTATGTGGTTCTATATAGCACTGAAAAAGGGAACCCTTTTGGGGTTAATCTGAAGAACACTTTCATGATGCAAAGAACCCTTTAGTCATGCAACAGGTTCTTGTGTGTTCTTGACCATTTTCTTTACTAAAGAACCCTTAAAGAACCATCTTTTTAAAGAGTGTATGTGTGTCTTTTATGTATGCTGCTGGAACATTAATTTCCCTTTGGAAATGATCTTATCTTGTCTTATCTTATCTTATCTTATCTTATCTTATTTTATCTTATCTTATCTTGTCTTATTGTAAAAAGTAGTGTAAAATCTACCGTTTACATAATACAGCTACAAATACACTGCCTGATATCTAAGACATTGTTTTACGGTAGTGTGAGATGTAATTTTGGCCTTAAATAAGATTTTGGCCTAGATAAGATTTTTTAAGATCAATTCGAGATGGAGGGATACATGCAGGGTGTTGTGAGGCAAAATAGTCCACTTTTTTCTTTCAGATGTATCACTATTTTCCTGTCATCAACATTCCATATAAGCTCAGAAGACTCGTGTAGGTTCACTGGTGGTTTTGGATAGTAAATAAAATGTCTATATTTGTGTTGTAGTCATGGTGATCTCTGGTTCCTATCACCAGCACTGTAAAGAAATCTGAGTCTCTACAATGAACTATTTCTGTTCAAACCACTAATTTTGTTCATCAGTGACTACAGTAATTTTGAAAAATTGGTGGAATCGCCCTTTAATATGTTCTTGTAGATTGCTGAGATTTCATCTCTTCACTTTCAGTCTTTTGAATGTACTAATCGTTATTTTTGCAGTATAGCACACTGCACTTGAAAGTGGGCTGGGCATGGCTGCCTGTATTTCTCACTCACTTTCATGACTGATTTGAAAGAACACTGTCCAGCCTTCATAATGTATATGTCTAGTTTTTCATGTTCATCTGTAAAACTGATTTGTATTTATTTTCAGTAAAAAATAAAGACCTCACTCATCAGTCAAAGGCTCTGATCTCTGGTGTCAGACTTTGTTGTTATATATTATATTGCTTTCTTTTACATTATACTATATTGTATTGTAGTCCTTTCATTTTCATTTACACATCTTTCCTCCCCGGACAGAAAGGCGGTCTTTAGGGTCCGGTTATTCGCTGTTAAAATGCACAGTGTGGCCTTTGTCAGGCCTTGTTTCTGCTTGCTGGTCTAACTGGAGTGAGGGCCATTACTGCCTTATCATCTCCTGCCCTCTACAGGAGTGGATGTGTACCACAGGGTCATGACCTCTGATACACAGCAGACTTTTTGTCTTTAGGTCGGATTAAAGGGGAACTCCACTGATTCAATACCATTCAGAGCGGTTTGGTGTGAAATGCTTCGCTCTAAACTCGTTGAAACTTCCTGATTCAGATTTGTTCACAGTAGTAGTGATAGGAACCAGACGTCTGAAGAGTTTAATACCTCTAAAATCTCCCTCACAGAAAGTTATTACAAGAAATGTTTATGAATACAGTAACTGATGGTTGAGACACTGTTTCACTGTAGTTTTGTGATAAAGTTTTGGTATAAAATTTATTTTAATCAATTATTTTAATCCATTCATGATGGAGGGATACATGCAGGGTGTTCTAAGGAAGAATAGACCCCAAAGAAGACTTATTTATGTATTTACTTATTTACTTTTTTTCAGATTGACCGCTATTTCCCCATCATCAACATTACATATAAAAACCAAGAAGAGGAGGTTTTGGATAGCAAATAAAATGCCTGTATTTGCATTGTTGACATGGGGACTGCTGGTTCCTATCACCACCACTGTAAAGAAGTAGTAGTCAGTAAGTTTCTCTGAATGACTTTGTTTACATCTCAACCAATGAATTATGCAGACATTTTTGAAAAATTGGTGGAATTCCCCTTTATACTGCTTGTATGACGATAATCCATAATTATTTGTCATTTATATTTGTCCTTTAGCTCCTTACAATACTTACATATTAGTATCAAAGTAGTAACCGAATAATGGATAATAGTTTTAAGATTAATAACTGAATAATAAGCCGGACGGTTAAAGGGTTAACATAGCTATTCTCATTTGCAGAGACATGACTGTAGCATACTATTTAGAACAGACATAAAAATGACATCTAAGGTATTTTTCCATTGCACAAAGTTTTGGAACCTTTGGCACCAGAAAACTGGAAATGTTCACTTTTTCACTGGCCATCTGTCCACTACTGAGGTTCCAGTTTTATGGCTGTTGGTACCTGTTTAAGATAAGGTACCAACAGGATCTAATGGAACTCAACAATGTTCGCTAGTTAGCTTTGTTAAGCTGAACAACAGCATATTACTCTTGCATCTGAGTGTAAAGCCACCAAGCACTACTACAGCTCCAATTAGTGCTACAGAATGTAAACTACAATGATATGTTGTTCAAAAGTTCTACATTTATTATTTTATAGAGAGTTGGCTAAGGTGACATAAGCTGCTTGGTGAGGTACAAAGACTGTTTTTCCTCTGATTTTATATTAAGCTTATTTCATTTCAGAGGATCTTAACTTGATGTAGTAACCTAGTTATTTATTCACAGTTATGGTTAAACCTTTGTAGCTAGGTGAGTTATAGCATTCCTTAATCCGTGTAGAGATTCATAATAGATTAACTTTAGCACCTTCTTACACGAAGCTGAAGTTGGCTTCTTATTCGCCATCTTCTTGTTCGAATTTTCCCGTTCCACCTTAAATGCTGCAGCTTCAGGCACCAGATAGTGACTGCTACACCATTTAAGGTGGACCGGGAAAATTCGAACAAGAAGCTGGCGAATAGCAAGCCAACTTTAGCTTCATCCTTCTTACTGTGTTTTCGGTTTATTTTATCTTTATGTGTATTAAGATTAGAAGTGATTCACACATTGATGGATTTGCTGATGTATTTCTACCGGAGCTCGCGCTGAACTCGGTTTTTAACGTCAGGTGACTGAATACTGTCCTGCTGGTTCGGATGGCTAACCTCTTCAACTCCTTGAGACCACCGGTGGTTCCAAAACGCACTTGGTCATATTCTTCATAACTTTCATATTTCATAAGCTACATTCAGAAGGTGGGGGTCATATGAGAGCTGAAACTGTCTTCTTTCCAGTCAAATAGATGGGTGATGTAATTTTAAACCCTTATAATAAAAGAAGCTGAACACAATTTTTTTGTCTACTGAAAGTCGACCCATTTTTCCACAAATCTGGGCTATAAACTATAAACAGATGACGTCTCTTCAGTGATCTGCTCTGTAAAAAATATTTTTATAAAATAATACAAAGAGAGTCTAAGATTTTTGGCTTTCAGCAGTAAATTGTAAGCATATAGCAATATGTGTGATCATAAAACACATGTTCTGTTAATTTGAGGGGAGCTTTTGCAAAAAAATAATAAAATAAAATAAAAATTTACATTTATTTCACGCAGTTACTGAATAATTTGCCTTACGATTTGGTCATGTAAATTCAGATAGACAAACCAAAACATACCCTGGAGAATAATAGGCTAATTAGCACGACCAGTTATTAAAGAAATAATAAGCAGTCCATGCAGCCTAGGTTAATCTGTGTCTGAGGATTATAACAAAACAAATTTGGTGAAAATCGGTTGAGTAATAAGGAAGTTGAGGCTGATTTAATCCTGAGACTCATCGTCTCTCAATACAAGTGAGTTTGTTCACAAGCGGATCTTGACCGCTCCAACATGGCGGACGCGCAGGCGTATCGCCTCAGATAGAGAACAACAGGCACGCAGCATCTGCGTATGTAGATCTATGGCTAATGTAAGAAATTCAAGAGAAGTTTGAAGCTTTGCAGCTCTGAACCCCCTTAAGGTCAACACAAAAAACAACCATTTCTGCCTTTTAAGCTTCTCCTCTCCACTAATTTCTTCTCAGTGCTGTTGTTGCATTTGTTTTGTCTCATAAAGTTCGTTCTTAAGCAAGAAAACACTGAAATGGGAATACATTTTTATTGTTACTCTGATAATCGCGCTTATTCGATGACCCTTACCTAGCATAGATATAACCACCTCCTTATGTCTACACTCATTGTCCATGTTATAAAAAATATCCAGGCAACAGCGTCCTGTGACCACTGATGAAGGACTAGAGGATGACCAACGCAAACTGTGTATCAAAAGATGAGCTATTGTCTCTGACTTTACATCTACAAGGTGAACTGACAAGGTAGGAGTGTCTAATAGAGTGGACAGTGAGTGGACACAGTGTTTAAAAACTCCAGCAGCACTGCTGTGTCTGATCCACTCAGACCAGCACAACACACACTAACACACCACCACCACGTCAGTGTTACTGCAGTGCTGAGAATGATCCACCACCCAAATAATACCTGCTCTGTGGTGGTCCTGACCATTGAAGAACAGGGTGAAAGTGGGCTATATGTATACTTTTTGATTAAATGTAAATTTTATTCACTATTTTGTTTAAAATCATGCCTCACAAGTGTCCAGCACCGGCCAGTAGCGGGTCACTACAGTACTCGAAACCTCAGAGAACATGTGAACCAAAGGAAATTGAACATTTCCAATGAACATTATTGGGCTAAGAGAACTTACTATTACATGTTCAATTCAACATTTTACATAACTTACTTTGAATTAGGCTGACACAACATTTTAAGGAGACCCTAAAGTGGCTTTGCGAAATAAAAAATATTTGCTAAGACATTTCCCTGCTTAGTTTTGCATTCCTTTGTAAAATCTACTGCATTTGCAAGAGAACTCAATGTCTACTTTTTTAACGGAGCCCCGGTGGTGACATCCTGTATAAATAAAATAATGCGTGGCCACAACTTAGTAAAGCGTGGGAACGAGATCCTAATGCGTGGCCACCACTTAGTAAGCTGTGGTCTCATTCCCATGCCTTACCAAGTTGTGGCCTCTCATTAGGATCTCGTTCCCATGCTTTAATAAGGCGTGGCCACGCATTATTTTTATTTATACAGGATGTCGTCATCAGGGCTCCGTACTCTATAGGTTTTTACAGTGTGTAATAATGGTAGCAACAATGATAATAATAGATCGTTGCAATTTTGCTGGGACTTTTATTTTGATTTCGTTCTCTTCCCTTAGCCTCGCTGCCTTCACGCTCTTCTCTGCTGACCACATCATAATCACGTGATATCAGTTCCGTTCTCCTTTCAGTCAGCAGACACAAACCTGGGGTGTTTATATATTTTGGATACAGCTGAAGATGTTGGCCCTCATCAACCGGCTCCTGGACTGGTTCAGGTCCCTGTTCTGGAAGGAGGAGATGGAGCTCACTCTGGTGGGCTTGCAGTACTCCGGGAAGACCACTTTCGTCAACGTGATTGCGGTGAGAGCTGCTAACTCATTACACCAGGCTCAAGTCAGCTCCCTGTTCGCCAGCCTGTTGTTCGAATATTCCCGTTCCACCTTAAACGGTGCAGCAGTTACGTTCACATTCAGGCGCCAGAGTGTGACTGCTGCTGTATTTAAGGTGGAACGGGCAAATTCGAACAACAGGCTGGCCAATAGGGAGCTGACTTCGGACTCGTACTCAGTAGCTACCCTTCTGCTAGCTGGACATTTGTTCCAGACGGTCCTCAGACGCTGTCATATGCGTTTATTTAGTTGGTGAAGGTAATATAAAGATAGAAAGTGCTGCTGCGAGGAATATAAGCATTTGTAATGTCGCTGCTCTGTGGAATGGATTCTAAATAATGCGCACAAAATGAACATTACAGTCTCTTATTGGAACCAAAAAGCCTTTGTTATAACATTGATGTGGGTAAAAGAAAATAATTGGCAATAACGTGAGTCTTGCACTGTTTATAATTAGGTTTGCATGAAATATTAAGGAAAAAATGTGGATCAAAAGTGGAAAAGTGGAGATTGTGGAGCTGGCTGCTTAGCTGTCTGAGGTAGGGTTGGGCGATATGACTAAAATATTATATCACGATACTTCAAGATGTTTTCTCAATACACGATATTCGTCTTGATATTTAGTTTTTCTGAGAATTTTAAGTTGGAGACCTGTCCAGGGTGTATCCTGCCTTCCACCCAATGACTGCTGGGATAGGCTCCGGCACCCCGCCGCGACCCAGAAGGATAAGCGGTTTAGATGATGGTGTGTGTGCGTGTGTGTGTGTGAGTGTGAGTGAAGTATTAAGGAAGAAATGTGGATCAAAAGTGGAAATGTGGAGATTATTGAGCTGGCTGCTTAGCTGTCTGAGGCAGGGGTGGGTGATATGGCTAAAATGTTGTATCACGATACTTCAAGACATTTTCACATACGTACATCATCTAACACGATACATGATATTCGTCTTGATATTTAGTTTTGTTAAGTTGAGATTATTAAGTTGGAGACCTGTCCAGGGTGTATCGTGCCTTCCACCCAATGACTGCTGGGATAGACTCCAGCCCCCCCCACGACCCAGAAGGATAAGCGGCTGAGAAGATATGTGTATGTGTGTGCGCGTGTTAATTTGGAACGGACAAAATAGAACCTGTACATGTAAAAACACTATAATAATAATGACAATAATAATAAACCTATAACTACACTGATTTTTATTTAGTGTTTTTCAAACTGCGCTGCACTGTTTCCACTTAAACAGGCCTAAATATGCTCTCTTTAATGTTCTTTAAGTACCAGTGATATCCACCATATGCTCAAAAAAGCGCATTGTGACATATTTTGTTATTATTGTGATCAATTATCGCCATATTGCCCACCCCTAATCTATGGCCTGGACATTTGGGTGGACATCACACTAGCACTGCACCATTTGAACTCTGGTCACGTTTTTCCTGTTTTAATGCTGGGACTGCATTCCTGCACTTGACTACATAAGTAGAGCTGTGATTCAGTGCTTAGTCATGTGATGAACACTACTGTGTCTGCTCACACAGTGCAGGAGCATCACTACTGCTGCCTAATTATAGAGCAGAAGTTCTGAGCGTTTATGATTAGTTCACTAATGTCAGGATCCAAATTTGATGTTAAAATTTTTTGTTTGTTTCATAGAATGAAAGAGTTTGGTTCAGTATGTAAACATTGTTAAAGCTTTAAGTTTTGGGGATTTGGAGACCTCTCTGGTGAAACTGTGTAATTGCATGCAACGTGCAATACAAATGTTTTGCAACATCAGTTGTGCTTCAGACACTTTTTCCTGAGCAGATGAATCAGATGATTGTGAGCATAGACAAAGAGGAGCAGCCCATTTCAAAGACTTTTGGGGAAAGAAATCGACTTTGCACTTGCTATTTGCAGTAGAGCTGTAAGTAAAATTGAAGACAAGCACATTTTACAGAAAATTTATGCACATACAAGAATTACTGACCTGTATAAGGATGTCCAGTGGTCCGGAGATTTTTGTAGCTCTGAAGGCCTTTACCTCGCGAGATAATGAACAAGATTAAGTCTTGGTTCATCTAGTTGGAATAATGTTATGCAGTGTCAAAGGCCATGATGTAGTTTAATTAACAGCATTCCTGAGCGACTGTCCAGATCTGTGAGACTAAAGCAATTTTGATTATTCAGAACTGACGGCTCTGAGCTTTAAGCCTGTTACAAACCTGGATATTTGATAGCTTTGCATTGGCCTGATTGACGTGTTGATTGATGTGTTGATTGATTATTTATTTATATATTTATTACTTATTTGGTGAAATATATTACTTTGTATTGGTGTGAATGATATGGCAGAGACCTAATAAAAGTCTAAGATATTTTCATGATATATAATAAATATCACAATGTCTGAGATTTGCTAAAAAAAAAGTTAAAACGAGACAGTAGTGCCAAAAAACATAATAGGGAGGAAAATGATCAATATATCATATTAATTTAACAATGTGACATCTGCTTGTTCTTTACAGGCTCTCTATAACCATTTTATTTATTTATTTATTTATTTATCTATTTATTTATTCATTTATTTATTTATTTGCTTGGTTGCTTACTTACTTAATTTCTTGCTTACTTACTCCCCCAGAAGGGAAAACACACATATGCACATGGACTGCAGTAGCTTAGACCTGCTCTCTGTGCTATATTTAGCTTGTACACTATTTTAACATGAAGTCTTCTTTAATAAAAATCACTTATTAACTAACAGTACTGAGTAACACAGCATTTAAAGTTTTTAAGTGCAAATGTACATTTGTGAGCTCCTGCTGGTGTGAGTTCATCGCTGTTTGTTCTCTTTAAATTACGGACATGAAAGTGACTTCTGTGCTAATAGCTCCCCCTTCTGGAGAAGCTTCAAACTGCTACATGCGCATAAATAATGAGAAATATTGAGTTTCACAGCTCAACATATTTTAAAAAACTAGGCGTTTTCATCGCTACAGTGGAGTCGGAGTATGGAAGATGTTTTCTTTGATGTTATGCCACAAGAGTAAAATGGAATTAAACGTCACATGTTATTTAATATTATTTAGCAAGCTGTTCAAAATTAGATTAGTCCTGTCTTGTTCTTTCAGTTCTCTTTCCCAAAAATGATGATTGTCATTATCAGCTTACCTGTAAGTAACCGTTATATCTGATTACTATCGTCGACGCCGGTGTCCGTCAAGGCCTACTTTTTCGTAAATACCTCCCTATGCTGTGTTCAGGAAAGAATATTGTGACAGAATTATATCATCATGATGTTAACATATCATATTTCACACCCCTAAACCGAAACTGAAATATTTGCTGAAGAGGCAGGTGGTCAGTGGTATGTTGATTTGTCATTATGAATGAGCTTGATAACAGTGCTTATGGCTGATAGGCTCTCCTGAATGGAACCATTTTTCCATTGGTGCAGTGATGTCAGGCAAACGAAGATGACAAAAAGCCATTTTTCCTGCTTGTGTGCTGCCCTCTAAACAACCCTCTCTGCAAACACTCGCTGGCAGAATGAGACACCTCACGCCTTGCTGTACCTCTAATGCTTTTTGGCCCTGTGCCTGAAGGTCTGAAGGCTGTAGCGGAGACAGTTGGGCAGTTTGCCTGAGGCTCAGACTGGAACGTGGCCATGGAGGCTGTAAATTTAGGTAGTTTCTGGTCGGCGTGCGCAGTTTATTGTTTGTTAGTTGTTATTGAGATATTGGACTTTGCAATACTGATATCACAGAAGGTGGCAATATGTTATTGAGCCGTAAAATAAATCACTGTATTGTGAGCTTCCTGACCAATCACAGCTCCAAATGAGTGTACCTGTGGGTCAAACAAAGGTAAATTACTCTGGTCACAGTAAATGCAGGCCAATCTTTAATCTTTTAGGGGGTTTGAAAAGGGAATCGTGTCAGATTGCAGTCATTTCTGGGTACATTTTCCTGCTGAAGTTGTCACTTGTGTTCAGTCGATCCCTCCAGCGACTGATTTAATACACTTCAGTTAATGTAGTAAGGGAACAGCTCTTAATATGGTGTTGGGGATTCCCCCTGAGGGCAGCTGGTGAGGCCAGGGCATGTAAAAAAAAAAAGGAAATGGCCAACTAGAGAAGGCCAATTTAAACATAAGTCAATGTCTGTTCAGGTAATACTTGGAGCTGAGAAGGCATGAAGTCATCCTAATTCAGTGATTACATAAAATACCGTCTGCTAAATTTCAGCGTAACATAGACATGTCCTTCATTGACCAAGATATCATACAATTCTGCATATTTGATACTGTTTGTTGTAAAATTAGCAGCAATTTGGAATAAAGAGACTATTTTATGGACAGTGCTGTCACTGAATATTCGCTGTTATCTCCAGTGCTGTCAGTATCTTGGCAACACCATGATGTATTATTGCCGAGAAAGGCCGTCTCAAAACAGATTCCTTTAGAAGCACCTTCTTAGTAAAATGCTGCTTTCTAAAGGACTGACTCATTAGACAGCAAAGCTGTAGACAGCCTTTCATTTCAGCCACACCCAATGAGCACAATGGATTCTACTCATTGTAATTCTATGGTGAGGTTTATCGTGAGAGGACTCCCCTCTTTTCTCTTACGGCTGGCTTAGCTGATCAGTTTATGTGCTTCTAGATTCACTTGGTTCTGCTTTGGCAGGTGTGCCCAGACCTACTCCAGGAAATATGCACCCGCATGTCCCAAATAAACACAGATAACGCAATGTACAGTGCAGCATGATAGGGTTATCACATTTAGCTGAATGACTGTGGCCATGGGAGTCAGGGATGCTTCAGTTTCTGTAAAAAATAAATAAAATTGCAAATGTTCCACACCAGGCTGTTGTTGATGAAACAGACTTTAGTGAGAAATATATAAAGAACGGCCGATCTCCTGGGGTTAGCCTCTAGCCTGGCATGGACACCATCGCCATGGTCTCTGGGCCTGGCCTTTACTGGTGCTGATAG